GAGCCCCAGGCTTTCCCGCAGCCAGTGAGCGACCCGGCAGCATCAGTGCACAGGCTCTGTTTGCTTTCAGCATCTAAAGAAAAACCACCTTCTTTTGGGGTGTATTAGAGCCCATCTGAGCTTGTTATGGGGAGGGGGGCAAAGCCCTGGGTCCCCTGGCTTTTCCCAGCTCAGTTGCCACGAACCTTGGGTTCCCAGATCTGTAAAAACAGGCCGAGGTGCCCTTTCGTGGTGCTTGGGGCACTCGAACGCCTGGAGCCTTGTGCCAGGGCGCACTGAGCACTCGGCTCCCTGGAGCAGGCGGGAGGCTGTGTGACCCTGCTTGGCCAGCCCAGTGGAGCAGCCTGCCCTTGGTCCCTTGTGCTCCGGGCATCGGGGTGATGCTCTCTGCCCTGGCCACGCAGTGCCTGCTTTCCCTGCTCCTGCCTTACCTGGCTCTCGGGAGTCTGGGGACGGCAGCTGCCAACTGCCCCTTCCGGCCCTTGTCCCCCCAGGGAGCCGACCGTCCTCGGGGGGCGGCGTGGCTGGGCCCGATGCAGCCACAGGAGGCCAGCGGCTGCCCCCCAGGCCCACAGCGCCCGCTCGAGCAAGTCACCTGCTTCAAGGTGAGTGTTTTTGGGACAGGGAGGCATGCTGTGCTGGGAGAAATGTCTTGCCTCAGAGGGAGGGTGAAGCCCTATGGTGAGGGGCAATCTAAGGTGTGGGGATGCTGCTGTCAGCTGGGAAGGGCTTCGGCAGCTCTCAACGTAGCACTCGAGTTTAGACATCCGTCTCCTCCCTGTACTGGCCTGTTTCTGGCTAATGAGCTTGTCTTCAGATGCGTTTCAGAGCTCCTCTTGCCTCCAGGGCTGGCTAGCAGCTTTCTCCCCCGACAGCTGGGGTGTGAACCGGCAGGGAAGAAAATGGTACTTGCGTCAAAATACTCTGACTGCAAGTGATGGTGGGGAGGGCAGGAGAAACATTTGTGACAGCAGACACTTGGCACACAGTGACATAGCCTCAGAGGGCAATGAGCCTCTTGCTTCTCTGGGGTGGGGATTTACTGCAGTAAAAGGCCTTTGGCACAGCGCTTCTCTACAAGAGGCAGCCCAAGTGAGGCATTGCTCCATTAGCCCAGAAATGATGGGACAAGGAATGTGTGATAGATAAGCCCTGACCATCTTTAACACAACTGTCTTCCCCCCTCCCCCCCCCACCCACCCAGTGTGGACAGAAGGGTCACTATGCCAATAAGTGTGGGAAGAGTCACCTGGAAATCCGGCTGGGAAAGTGACTTGAGTGCTCCTGCAAGAAAAGTGGAAAGAAGATGCACCATGAGGTGTGAAGTGTGGTGGAGCCAATGAGAAGGCAACTAGTCAAACCACTGTCCTAGAGAAGCCAGTTGCTTTTGCTCAGCACTGCCTCTCACAGCTCCTTGCACAAGCAACAGAGGAGAAATCACACTCCCTTAATGTAACTAAAATTGGACTCTTCACAGCTCTCACAGAGGTCACTGCCTCTCTTCCTCTTGCTCAGCTGGCAGATGGCTCACACTTTAGACTGGTGCAGTAGGGAGCTGTAATTATGCATTTACTAAACCACAGCTTTGAAAGGGTGTGAGAACAGCCTGTGCCAGGGTCCTGGGAAAATGAGGGTGTGGTGTGTTAGTCTCCAGAGGAGGGGGTGAGGAACACCATATTTGATGAGAACACATGGTACCAAGTAGAAAAGGAAAATTCACAAGAGCTTTATTGCTGGCAAGGAGGAGTTCTTGATGAAACACCTCTGACACAATATTGTTGCACCTCACTTAGAATAAAGAGTTTAGATTTTTTTTCCTTGGTGCTTTTTTAACCCTTTGTGCCTGTAACCTCAGCACTCCTTTTCAAGATACAACTGGTGATGGCAGGCTAAAACCGGCAGTCTCATAACTGTCCTCATTTGTCTGGTGCAGATGTTGGTTTGCCCTCTGGGCACAATAGCTAATCCAATGGATTTTCTTCCTCCAGAAATAGGGCACTGCATTGTGAATGCTGCTGCTTTAATGCCTTCACAGAGGTACTTCCTGTAGCTGCCCTGGAGAGTCTGGGAGCCCCATCAGTGTGAGGCTGTTAGCAAAGCAGGGGCTGTGGCCCCTCTGCTGAATGGCTCTGCAGGGACCACCATTATCTAGTGATGAACTGGTAGCAAACACTGTCTTGCCTACTGCGGAGAGGGTAAGTAAGAGCTACAGCACAGCCCACCTAACTTGAAGAAAGGGAATGTTGTTTTGCCCGAACTGCTCTTCCCCAGGATCAATTACAAACCTTACTGCTGAATACTTGCACTACAACATAAGTGTAGAATTAAAGTTTATATCAACAGCCCAGGTCGAGAGCTATCCTGTCCCAAGGATGTCCAGTGAGACTGAGGTTTCTGCAGACTACAGGAACTCTTCCCCCTCTAGATCTCTGAGGGACGGCCCTACCACTTCTTGCTGTTCGGGTACTAACTCCCAGATGTGCAAATGCAGACTGTTATTGTCAGTGTTACCCCTCTATTTGCAGGAGGATAATTGAAAAGCGTTCCCTCCAGCATCAGAGATTTAACAGCTTGTCTCTGATGGAAAATGGGCCTCATTTTGAATTCCTGCTGGGATGCCAGTCCTAAGCCCTAGTGCTGAATCCCGGTCAAATCTTTGCAACTGTTCCTTGGGTGCTGTTCCAGCTTCTTCAGTGGTACTTACGCCAGCAACTACGCTCTAGCAAAACAGGAAAAAAGTGACAACAGTGTTAGCACAGTGCTATGCACAGGGATGATGTGACAATGAACAGGAGTCTGACTACAGCCTTCTCTGTAGACGTGCTATACAGGTAAGAGCAAGTGCTGTTGGAGATACTATACAAACATCCGTAAGTTCCTTGGGTCACTTATGAACAAATGGGTCATGGTCATGTCCTGTGTAGGAGCATCTCCTCCCTTTGCCTCGCACAGAGTTCAGGAGGGCTCCTGAGTGTTCCTGGTCCTCTCCAGGGAGAGGATTGAGCGGTGAATCCAGCAACTGTCATCACCTTTAATTAAATTCCTCTACCTACCTAAGCTGCTCAGCTTAACGATTCTCTAAGCAATAGATAAGTAACAACAATCGCTTCCCTGCCAGGACAGAATACTGTTCCCTGAGCTCTGGTATTTGTTTTAACTGTGAAATACATAAATGATTTCAGACAATTAACATGAATGGCAAACAGACTTTCCACCTGCTACACAGGAAGGAATTACTTGATATAAGAAAAAATACCAAGAAGGAAACCTTACTTATGTGCTCATAGTTCCAGCCATAGCTGAGGATGCAGTATCCAGTCAGGAGCATTGAAATCCCAGCTGTTCCACCCCTCTTCACGTTGATGTATTTGTTACAGTAGCTGTTCCATGCTGTTAGAACAGAAATGCAAGGGCCAAATCACCTACTGGTCTTAAGGAGCTCACTGGTTTTCATAAATGTCCAAAATCAAATGGTTGGGTCTGCTGATTTACTTTATAAAGGCTCAGACTGGCAGCATGGACCAGGCTGCAGCAGCATGTTAGCAGGTAAACTAATTAGTTTAAGTGGGACAAGTCTCCAGTGACAGAGCCAGTAATCTAGCCTCACCTTTCTGCACGCCTCCAAGCAAGCTCTTGGGAGAAAAGTTGCACGTGGCCAGCCATGTGGGCAATTCCCCCAGCTTTACGTCCATCAGGTGCCTTTCTGAGAGAGGAGCTATGGAATGAGAGATTGAAATGGTCAAAGGTAGGAAAGTGAGTCTGGCTGTGCTGTGTTCACATTCCCTGCACTGGGTGCTACGCGTGGAGCTGCTCTCCAGTGCAATTCCAAGTGACTTGGTGGACTAGGGATGGGTTGCTCAGAAAGGAAGAAGGCATTCTCCTTCCCATGAAGCACATGAGTTGGCTCCACCAGCCCAGCACTTTGTGGAATTGTCAAACATGCAAGACCTCAACTCAATACTAAACAGAAATGTGAACCATTGGTTTTGTGGGGTTGGGGGGTTAGGGAGGGGAGCTCCTAGGACCTTTTAGGAACAATGCACGAGAGCCCAGCAGCTTAGCTTTTTCTACCCCTCCTCTCGTTCCTATCTGACAGTTTAGCCTGACAGTGCAATACGCCTCTGCTGCAGGCGCTTTTGCCTCGTGTTTTACCTTGCTTTCCTTCTGAGAAACCACCCTTTGTTGTCTTCACCGTGATCGCCACGTCCTCCTGGAAAGGCTCCTCTGGAAACAGGTTCAGCCTGCGATAATTAGGATATAAGTCTGGAAACCACTCCAAGCCCAGGGGCCCT